TCGGTGGCCTCCTGCCCGGGCTGCCCGCCCCCTCCCGTAGGGCGGCGCGCTCCTCCCTGCGCCCTGCGTCCGGGACCCTCGGGAGCAGGTCGGGGAGGCGGCTGTGGGCGGGAGTCGGAGCCGTTGCCGGGCCCGGGGCTGTCCGGCAGCCCAGGGAAAAGTTAGGCCGGCGTGGTTGGGGGTGGCGCCGGCCGGCCGTGGAGTGGCCAGGCCTGGCACTGCCCACCTAACTTCTTGCGCCGGATCCGGCCCCGTCTCCTCCCGCACAGCAAGGGCCGGCTGTGAGGGCTGCGGGCGCGCCTGCGGACACCATGAGCGTGGGCTTCATCGGGGCTGGCCAGCTGGCCTTTGCCTTGGCCAAGGGCTTCACAGCAGCAGGTAGGCCCCCCAGCGCCGGAGGGTGGGCGGTCACCCCTCCGCGGGTCTGGGGAATCAAGGTGGGGGTCTGGATAACATACCTGTGGGAAATGGCAGCCCCAGGATGTTTGGGGTCCTCAGGGGTTGCTGTCTCCCCGGGTGGTGGGGTTTCTGTCCTCCCTGGGAATGCGGCCTTGAGGGAGGAACCTTTCCCTGCAGGCGTCCTAGCTGCCCACAAGATAACGGCCAGCTCTCCAGACATGGACCTGGCCTCAGTTTCTGCCCTCAGGGTAAGTGCCGGGAGCCAGGGCAGCTGTCCCTACAGGGGCCGGGGGTGTGTGTGTGTGTGTAACAGCCTAGACCCTGGAGGGCCAGCAGTGGTGCCCGCAGTGGGGGGCACCCCGAAACCGGCCTCCACCCCAGCGAGAGGAGGGGCCCTGGGCTGGAGTGTCTGCAGACCCTGCTCTGCTCCTGGGACCTGGGTGACTTGCAGCTGTGGGGAGGGGTGCTGGTCTGGGACGGGTGCTGTGGGGGCAGGTGGCTGGGGCCACAGTGTGGGCCAGGGAGACACAGCTGGGGCTGATGGAGCTTTGGTTTGCCATAGCTGAGCTAGGGCTCGGGATCCAAGGGTGGGCAAGGTGCCCAGCTTGGACCACCACTCACACCTGGACAGCAGGGGCCAGGGGGCTGGGGCTGCAGCCCAAGGTGGGATGGGCCAAGGCTGCGACGTGGGTGCCGTGCCCCTTTTCTGTTTGCGCACACTCCAGAGCAGAATGCTTCCTCCGCTTTTGGGTGGAAAGGGCGGTTGGGGTGCCAGAGCCCCTGTCTCTGAGCCCCTAACCCAGCCATGCCCACACCCCCAGCAGCCTCTGCGCTGGTCCACGTTCTGGCTCTTGGCTTGGAGGAGGGATGCTGGGGGTCCAGCCGGCTATGGGGGCAGGCTGAGCCCACCTCGGCATTCCCCACAGAAAATAGGGGTGAACCTGACACCCCACAACAGGGAGACGGTGCAGCACAGCGATGTGCTCTTCCTGGCCGTGAAGCCCCACATCATCCCCTTCATCCTCGATGAGATCGGCGCCGACATCGAGAGCCGGCACATGGTGGTGTCCTGCGCGGCAGGTGTCACCATCAGCTCCATCGAGAAGGTGGGCGCGGCAGGTCCAGGCCCAGTGGGGTTTGAGAGGGGTGGGAGTGTGTGCTGCGGGGTGGTCAGGAGCTCTGGTCCTCCCGGCGCCTCAGTTCTCCGTCTGTGAAATGGGCGTGTTTCCCAGCCCACCGTGAGAACGCGGGAGATGCTCCGCTGGGTGAGCGTGGTCACGCTCTCACCCGGCACACCCTGCGGGGCACGGGCCGGGATGGACACACGGCTGGTTTCTTCTCCAGAAGCTGACGGCATTCCAGCCGGCCCCCAAAGTCATCCGCTGCATGACCAACACGCCGGTCGTGGTGCGGGAGGGGGCCACTGTGTATGCCACGGGCACCCATGCCCAGGTGGAGGACGGCCGGCTCCTGGAGCAGCTCATGGGGAGCGTGGGCTTCTGCACGGAGGTGGAGGAAGACCTGATCGATGCCGTCACCGGGCTCAGTGGCAGTGGCCCCGCCTATGTGAGGACTGGGCTGCGTGGGCCGCAGCTGGGGTGGTGGGGGGACCTCGAGGCAAAGCTGCCCATCCTTCATCTTCCCCCCTGCTCCAGCTGCTTTGGACAGCCGTTGCCGGGAGTAGAATTGTCCCGGGACAGTGGCTTAGGTGCCTTCTCCCTGCAGGCGTTCACGGCCCTCGATGCCCTGGCTGATGGGGGTGTGAAGATGGGGCTTCCCCGGCGCCTGGCAGTCCGCCTCGGGGCCCAGGCTCTGCTGGTCAGTATTTTTCCTGACCCTCTGGTGGGGCCGCTCCTTGCTGGACGCAAGGCTGGTGCACTGGGATGGATGGGTGGAGAGTCGGCGGGTGCGGCGGTGGCTGGGATTGGGGGCAGTGTCCTGTGGAGGGGGTGGGTTCCCCCACAGCTGTCCCCTCTCTGCCTGCAGGGGGCTGCCAAGATGCTGCTGGACTCGGAGCAGCACCCGGGCCAGCTCAAGGACAACGTCTGCTCCCCTGGAGGGGCCACCATCCATGCCTTGCACGTGCTGGAGAGCGGAGGCTTCCGCTCCCTGCTCATCAACGCTGTGGAGGCCTCTTGCGTCCGCACACGGTGGGCCCCTGCTGCTCCCCGGCCTCCCGCCCCAGCGCGCCAGAGCCCTCAGCCTCGCTCGGGCCGCCCAGTCGCTCCCTCGGCACCTGCTTATCGAGCTCCGGCCCGGCAGCGGGCAGGGCACAGGCGCCCCGAGGTTCCCTGGGGTGCGGTTTGCAGCGTCCCTCACCATCACGCTGCCAGGGAGCCTCTGTGGGCGTGATGATAACCCTTCCTCCCGGCCCGGCCGGGGAGATTAGTCAGGGCAGACAAGCGGGACACAGCGCAGTGCACCGGCTTCACGACCGCTGCTCGGGGTGACAAAGCCAGAGCAGGACAGGTGGAGTTTGGTGTCTAGGCTCCGTGTCACTGTCCCCAGTTCAGTTCTTGAGGATGGACGGGCATCTTTCTCACCTTCTGGCCTGCCCTCCAGTCCAGACCCCCAGGCTGCTGAGTGCCACCGTAGGACAGTGAGGCCAGGACCCAGTGCTGCCCCCCTGGCCCCAGCCTGCAGTGGAGACAAACAAGGCACATGTCCTGTGCTCGGGGAATGAGGTCTCAGAGTCGGGGCTGCTAGAGTTGGTGAACCTGAGCCCATTTGAATGAGGTGAGAGGGAGCTAGACAGCAGTCCAGGGAGGGTAGCCGGCAGAGAACTGCAGGTGCAAGGGCCCTGGGCTGGCAGGTGCTGTCCCTCTTCCCTCATGGACAGTCGGGCTCGAGGAGGAGGGGGAGCCCGGCGTTACTCAGCCCCTCTCACTGCCTCCCCAGGGAGCTGCAGTCCATGGCTGACCGGGAGGTCTCACCAGCTGCCATTAAGAAGACTGTCCTGGACAAGGTGAAGCTGGACTCCCCTCCGAGGACCTCGCTGGGCCCTTTCAAGCTGCTCCCCCGCAGCATGGCCCCGGCGGGGAAGGAGGACTGAGGTGTCCCACCTGCGAACCAGGCTGCCCTCCACCTTCTCTCTCCTGGGCTCGGAGCTCCTGCGATGGAGGTCCCTAGCCCCAGGCCACACAGGGTGTCGTGTCCTCATGGTGGCACCCGGGTCAGCCAGGGTCATAGTCAGGGCAGGGGTACATCACTTCCCAGTGTGCAGCTCCCTGAGTGCTTCCTGGCCCAGCAGCGGGATGGACTCTCTGACCTCAACCTCCCCCCCCTTCTGCCCCGAGCTCAGGAGAGGTTTCACCTCCCGGTGTCAGCGGGCTTGGGGTTTGGCCCCTTCCTGAGCACAAAGGTCCAGGTTCCCCTCCCTGAAGGCCCAGCCAGGGAGAAAACTCTGTCCCACGCCTGCCACTTCCCCAGCCTCCACTGGCAGGGAGACACCTTCCTTGCATGGGAAGGACCAGAGGGTCCCGGGCATTCTGAGTGCCCTGGGAGGGCACTGCCAACTGCCAACTACCCCTCGTTCCCATCTGACATTTGAGAAAAGGGCTCCTCAGACAGCTGGACTTGCAAGGTCACCGCTCAGGCCACTGTCTCCCATTCCGTACCCTACCCACAGAGGCTTAGACTTCTCTCCCTGGCCTTTTAGGTTAAATAAATTGGTTCCCAGCCCAGTGCCCCGGCTTCTAGCTTTGTCACCACGTGTGGAGGGATGCCCCAGCAGCCCCAGAGGGTGGTTGCTATCGGGTGAAATATTGGAGGCCACGCCAGTAGCCCATGGCCCAGAGCCCTTGCTTCCCAGGCAGCCGGGCTGGGGGCTGGGGAGGTGGAGTGGGGAGTCTCAGTGAGCAGAGGGAAGGGAGCCCCCGCGAAGGGAGGCCTCAGTCACAGTGTGACTGCGAGTGGGCACCATAGGCTGGGCTTGGGGGTGGGGGCCCCGCTTCTGCGCCCTCCATGCCTCCTGACTTCGTGGGGCGCATGTCTCTCCAGCTTAGCCAGGCAAGGAGGCCCCTGGGGAGCTCGCCGTGTCAGGGTTCTCCGGGGAACAGCACCGGTGGGACGTGGAAACAGCTGTTAGAATATATAGGGAGAGACTTATTGTCAGCAGGAGGCTGGCGAGTCCCTCTGCAGGCCGCCCAGTCCA